GAGAGAGAGGACGAAACTCACGGTCCGGCTCCGTCGCCTCGCCCGCCCACAGCAGTTTGCCGTCCCACAGCGTGCGGCCCAGCTCCTTCAGATCTTCCTTGGTGCCGCCGCCCACGCACGCCGGCGTCGTCGTGGCGCCGCGCGTAAAGGCCTGGCGGCGCCAGCGCGAGTAGAAGCTGTGCTTGGCCTCCTGCGGCACCTCCTTGGCGTCGTCGGCGTCGTCGGAGGAGGCGGCGGCGGCGAGGCGCGGAGCAACGTAGGCGTGCAGCGCCGCGGCGACTTCGAGACGACTGTACGCCTCCAGTGCCACGGCGGCGTCGGCGCCGACGTACACGAGCAGACTGGCGCTCGCGCCCGGCAGGCCGTTGGGCGCACAGAGCGACGAGACGACGAGGGTGCTGCGTGCGAAAATGTGCGCCAGGGGCGCATCGCGAGCGACAGGGCCGCCCTCGGAGGGGAGGAGGGTGAACGTGCCGATGCTCGCGTCCCAGAAGGGAGCGTCGTACGAGAGGAGCACCTTGTTGAGATTGCCCACCGTCGTGCGTTGCTGTTTTGCGCGCGAGAGAGAGAGCGTCAAGAAGGGGGCGCCTGCGTCAGCACGATGCTTGATCGGCGGACCAGCCAAGTTCCGAGCTTATATGTGTTCACAGCGAGAGAGAAGAAACTCACGATGGCCTCCTCTCTCTCCCGCGGCAACTGCGGCTCAAACACGGCCAACGACTCGCGCAGCACGGCATGCGGCATCGTGACGAGGGCATGTTTGGCCTCGTACGTGGCGCTGCCAGTCTGCACGCGCACGCCGGCCTCGTGCTGCGTGATGCGCTGCACCGTTTCGCCCTGCCGAAACTCTGCGCCCGCACGCTGGGCGTCGTCGGCGATGAGGCAGACGAGGCGCGTGAAGCCGCCCTCGGGCGCACCGTCGGTGCCGCCGAACGCAGAGGGCGAGCCGAAGGAAGCCGCTTCCTCGAGCGTCACGCCCAGCGGCACGTGCAGGGTGCGCGCGAATGCCTGAGCCTGTGCGCGTTCGGCGTCGCAAGACAGGCCGGCGAAGAGGGGCGAGTCGGCGGCGAAGAGCACCGAGGCGAGCGAGTGCGAGGCGGGCGTGCAGACGCCAGAGCTGGCAAGCGTCTCCTTTGCCGCTGCCTGCGCGCAGGCGAGATTGTCGGAGAGCTTGGCGGCGAGCGACTCGGAGAGGGGACCTGCATTGGCGTGCCCCCCCTTTTGGCTCAGCCCGGCCCACCTCAGCGCGATGGGATGGAGCAGGCACTCACCGTTGGCGCCGATGATGCGCGAGGCGGTGGGCTTGGGCACATGGACCTTCTGCAAGCGGCGGCGATGCAGCGTCAGCACTGTGAGTGTGAGCGCGACACACACACACACCAGAGGCCCCCTTACGCACCACGCCGTACTTCTCCGCGATGGCCTTGACGGGGTTGCCCTCGTTGTAGCCATGGATCCAGGAGCATCCTGCACACCTCACCTTCCATCAGCCTGATTTCTCCGCCACCTCGGCACCCCTCTTTCTCCACACTTACCAAAGTCACACGTGTACGCGCCCTCCTTGTCGCTCGTGCGCGCATTGTCCTCCTTTGCCGTCGCGGCGTGCCACGAGTGGGTGAATGCGCGGCCGCCGAGGCGGCCGTCGCGCGCCTCGAGCACGAGCACGCGCCGCCCGGCGGCGGCCAGGCGCTGCGCGGCCAGCGTGCCGGCCCAGCCGGCGCCGATGATGAGCACGTCGAGAGTGGGCGGGGCGGGCATGAGCGGAGGAGGGGGCAGGGCGTGGTGGTGAGAGGCGAAGCGAAGGTGCGCCTTGCGCGGCGTCAGCAGCACGCCGCCAGCGCGCGCCTGGCCCGAGCGCACGCCGCCGAGATCGCCGACTCGCCGCGGCCGCCGCCGCCGCCGCCCGACTTCTCCCCTGTCCCGCTGCAGAGGCGGCAGTTCGGCTACATTCGCTCCACTGATGCGCCTCTCACTCTCTCACTCCCTCTCTCTTATCAGCATCCAAGCTGCGCTTCACACAGGCGCACGCAAGGCAGAAGGGAACATGTGCAATGTGCGCGTGGTGGTGGCGTGTGGTTGTATGAAGTACAGGGCGGGGGGTGGAGGCGTGGTAGTGCCCGAGGGAATAGGACGGCTCTGCCTCAGCCTGCGATGGTCGCCGCCATCCCCTCGTCGCACAAGAGTAAGGGTGCGTCTCCGCCGTTTTATGCCTTGCGGCTGGCCTTGCGCGCGGCGCGCGCGGCGCCGTTGCGCTCCTTGGTCTCGGCCTGGCGCTTGGCGAGCAGCACGTCGTACTCGGCCTTCTGCGCGTGCTGGCGCTCCGTGGTGCGCTTCTTGAGGCTGCGCAGGCGGCGCTTGTGCTGCAGGCGCTGGCTCGTGATGAGGCGCTGGATGCGCGGCGCCTTGGTGTACGCCTTGGCGCCCTCCTTCTTCGGCTGCACCTCGCGGCGGATGACGTACTTGCGCACGTCGTCCTTGGGCGTCAGGTTGAAGAACTTGCGGATGTCTGCGAGGGCAAGGCGTCAGCATGGGGTGGCAATGCAAGCGGGGGGCAGAAGCATGCAGAGAGGGTATGTGTGCACCTCGGCAGCGCAGCCCCTCGTGCCAGCCATGGCGAGCAAGCATGCCCTCGCCGGGGGTGCACCGTCCGCTCTTCGTCCTCGTGCCCTGTGCCGCACCACACCTCCAATCTCCAGGTACTCACGGTTGGCGCGCTTCGGGCCGAGGCGCTTGGGCACCGTCGAGTCGGCGTCGGTGAGGCCGGCAATCTCCTGCTCGCCCTGCTTGACGATGATGAGGTGGTAGGCCTGGATGTCCGTGTTCATGATGCAGCCGCGCACCGACTTGCGGCGGCGCTCGCCCGTGCGGCGCTGGCGGTAGCACGAGTCGCCCTCGCCGAGCAGCAGGCGCACACGGTGCGGCACAAGCACACCCTCTGCGCACGAGACGAGGCAAGGTCAGCATGAGGCGGCCAAGTGACATGTGCTGCCATGGCAGTTGCTGCAGTCTGGCGACCTCGACAAGTGGCACCATTCCCAACATCGCCGCATCGGCCCCACACCCCCATGGCGCCTCGCCTCGCCTCGCCTCTTCTCCCTACGCAGCAAGAGCCCCACTCACGCTTGGCCGGGAAGCCCTGCTTGTCGTTGGCGCCGCCAATGCGCACAACGTAGCCCTTGAACTGCTCGCCCAGGCTGGAAATGTCGACGTCCTGGCCCATGCGCTTGTCGACGAAGCAGCGCGTCTTGTGCTCGTCGTCGATCTCAAACGACTTCTGCGCGCCCGTCGCGGGGTTGCTGGAGGGAGAGGAGAGGGCATGAGCACATGACGCCTTGCTGCGAGCGGCAACGGCAAACTCACGCGAAGTTGAGCTTCCTGTGAAACAGCAGGGAGAGGCAAGTGTCAGCGTCATTGCTTGACTGATCGTGGCATGATCGCGACATGCGCGCCTAGGCAGGACCTAGGCCATGCCCCGCACGACGAGCCTCAGCATACACCGGCGGCCAGCCGACGTCCTCGGGCATGGCAAAGCTCCGATCTGGCCTCTTTGCACACGCCGAGGCGAGCCCCACCGCCTGCTGTTTGCCGTATGCCTGCTCGCCCTTCGCTTGCGCGCGATATGCCGAGGCCCGCGCTCGGCCCGGGAGCCTCGAAGCAAGTCGGCCCTGGCTGGGTCCTGCGCGCTCCAGCGTGCCGGCCTACTGCCATCCGCCAACGGGCCGCCAATCGGCTGGCTCTGCGCCTGCGCCATCGGATCTTCGCCGGCGCTCGCTGCTGTGCGATGCGATGCGGGCGTCGTCCGCTGCGCAGTGGCATGCCCGGCCGCGGGCAGACAGCAGCGGCCCCGTCTGCTGCGACTCGGGCCACCGGGCGCTGGACGCCATCGACAGCGGCAGCCAGGCCTCCGTGACGAGAGCGTGCCCGAGCAGCGGCGCAGGGCCTTGGCCGTGCCGGCGACGTGCGCGCCACGGACGCTCGCCATGCGATGCGCTGCGCTTCCTGCCGCCCGCACAAACTGCGCCATCTGCCCAGCGCACATGTCGATGTGTCGTGCAGCGAGAGAGCGGATGCGGATGCGCGAGAGTAATACGAACGTCATGATGTGTGTGTAGGGGTGACTTGCGGCGGGGGAGAGAGGCGTGGGTGAGGGAAGCGAAGGCGGGCAGCGCGGCGGCCTGGCGTGAGGCGGCAGCGCGCGGCGGGAGAGGCGCGGCGGCACAAGGCGCGGCCTTCTCGCGCCTGCGGCAGTCGCGCTCCCGTGCCGCGGCAAGAGCTGCGGCTGCGGCTCGCCCCTGCCGCGTCACGTGCTGCAGCACAGCAGCAGCCCGCGTCACCCGCGCCGCCCCGCCGCGCCGTCGCCGCTGCGTCGCCTGGCTGGCCCTTCTCTCCCGTCAGCTACTCCTCAAGACCCCCCATTCCCCTCCTCACCCCACACACCAAGTAGTGCGTATCGCATGCACGCGCACCCGTCATCGACGAGATGCTGCCGGAGCACGGCGCCGCCTCACGCGCGGCAGCGGCGGCCTGCCAGTGCGGAGGTGCAGCGTGGCGACGAGGCAGGCCAGCACTGGCGCCGCGTCATCAGAGGGCGCAGCGCGCACGTCGCGCATGGCCGTCGCCGCAGCGCACGCTGGTGGCGCCATGCTGGATGCTCGATGGAGGGAGAAAGAGAAGGAGCAAGAGGCGCATGCTGAGCGGAGCCCACACCCACGTATGTCCCTCTCTTTGCAAGTCGCTGACCCCTCATCCTTAGGCCACCATGGGTCGCATGCACTCCAAGGGCAAGGGCATTTCGTCCTCTGCACTCCCCTACCGCCGTGCGCCGCCCTCGTGGCTCAAGACGACGCCCGACGAGGTGTGCACGCAGATCTGCAAGCTGGCACGCAAGGGCCTCGCGCCCTCGCAGATCGGCGTGCAGCTGCGCGACAGCCAGGGCATTGCCCAGGTGCGCTTCGTCACGGGCAACAAGATCCTGCGCATCCTCAAGAGCGAGGGCCTGGCGCCGAGCATTCCCGAGGACCTCTACCACCTCATCGTGCGTGGCGCCGCATGAAAGGTGCGATGCGGCACAGCGCTCACCCCTTGCCCCTACGTTCCACCCCCTCGCAGAAGAAGGCCGTCGCTGTGCGTGGCCACCTTGAGCAGAACCGCAAGGACATGGACGCCAAGTTCCGCCTCATTCTCATCGAGGTGAGTCACTTGCAGGCGCGGGGCAGCATGGCCGGGCAGAATGGAGTGCAGCAAAGTGGCGCGGGTCTGTCGTTGAGGAAAGGAGAGCTGGACGAAGCAGAGGAGCGGCGGCCCAGAAGGGAGGACTGGATCGCATCGGCGCGGCGCAGCGGTGGAGCGCGAGGTCGGCAGCAGAAGGCAGTGCGGCTCGGCAGCGGAGCAGCATCAGAGAAGGAGCTCGGCGCACGGCAGGTGTGTCTCAAGGCAGAGCACTGCGCGGGGGG